CATGCTATGTCATTCCCTAACATCTCCAATTATCTGGCTCCATGCCTCCGTTTATTTATTGAGACTGTCAATTCGTATTATGAATCGGGCAACAAAAATACAGATCGTTCAAAATTATCCCCTCCTCGTTTTTTTGTGTCTGCAGACATCTGCGCATGCTTCAGGGTGCATGTGATGTACAAGTGCACACCGACCGCATGGATCTGTGAACAAAAAGCAGAAAATTAAATTCTAGGCGAAACAGAATCAAAGCAGATATTCCTATGACAATTATGACATTCCTGCAAAAGCAGAATTTCTTCTCCGCACGCTGGTCCTGTCATGCAGTCTACCAAGTGAACATATGATTTAATGAACCCATCAATCATAGAATACAAAAGCGAAGTATAGTCCACTTCTTGATCCTCTGATTTTTTTAATTGGGTCCCACGAGACACAATGTTTTTCCACATCAAAATAAGTTTTACCCCACCATTATAACCGACTCTGCTGCTAACAATCATGCAAGACGAGTGTGACGCCAATGACTGGGATGGCAAAACTGGATTGAGTTAAACATTAAAGATGAGACTTTCATTTTGGGCTGAAGGCAATTTGAAGCTAGCACTGTAAGAGTGTTTGTGAGTGTGGGTGTGCCTTTCCAACGTGTCCAACATGTTTTTGGTGGTGTACAGGGAAACCCTTTTTAGATGAACCATGTTGGGACTCCACGCATGAGTCCCTTGCAGTGAATGGCAGGTCATCTGCATGGAACAGACAGCACACAGGAGCTCTGAACAGGCTTTATGAAGACACATAGAGTCACTATTGAGACAGCAATCAGAATCCTCCTGGGACCCCAGCGGACAGAAGAGGGAGAATGAAAGGCAGATGACTCTGGAATCAAGCAGTAGACTCCATGATTCAAGTGACAGCCCAACCCAGTGCATGCGCACGAACACACACCATCTTCTGAACGATTTTTAACCAGGTTTGTTGTATACGATAAAATTCAGAATAGGCTACGGTACTTGACAAATAGAAAATGCTGCAACATCGATAACATAATTACAGTGAGAGTGAGAAAACAGTGCTCTTTACATGATCCCTTAGTAGCATGCAACACACTAGGTGGATTCTTAACTTCATAAGATTTGCCTTTAATGATATTATATTAAATGGATTTAGCATTAAAAGTTGCAATGTTGACACTGTGGAGGTACAAACTGTATAATAGCATAAACCAAATGTGATACAGTTTTAAGTAATGGCTCATACGCACACATACACACCCTCTATGACGTAAAAATGGTAGCATTCTCTCTCATTCTCCAACGCTCTCTCCATCTCCCTTTTTTTCAGTTGGCTTCAGTCCACCCCAACAGATGGGTCAGTGTCAATAGGTTATTAACTGGACACACGCCTCTCATGGGGCCTGGAGACCAGATCATACTGTACTAAACACAGTTTTAAAAAAAAAAGAATAAAGAAAGAAACAGCTAATTTTCCTGCAGTCATACCCACTTTCAGCTAACCTCTGCTTTTCACACTCTCTAGAAACAAAACAGGCTGAAAATGTCTTATTCTTGCCTGCTTAGTTATTTTGAGAGAAAAACATATGGTTTAGTGGTTTGTATTGTACCTGAGTTTAGCTGCGTCCGTTGGCATGAAGATGATGATTAGGCTTTGCCATAGACAGTATGATATTTAATATTAAACAAAAGTTAATTGTTTAGCACAAAACAACATAATGAATCTGGACTAATTTTATCCACTCTTCCTAATTACAGCTAAACATTTTAAATTAAACATCTTGTGAAAGTCTAATTTAGTATGCATACTATATAATTATAAAGGTAAATAAAACAACACATTTTAAGATCTAAAGCTGAGAATGAGTCACTATATATATATATATATATATATATATATATACACACACAAATATTTTCTAACAATATACACTACCGTTCAAAAGTTTGGGGTCAGTAAATTTTTATTCTTTCTTTTTTATTCAGCAAGGATGTGTTAAATTGATAAGAAGTGATTGCAAAGATTTATATTTTTTAGAAAAGGTTTATATTTTGAATAAATGCTGTTCTTTTTTACTTTAACTTATCAAAGTATCCTGAAAAAAGTATTGCAGTTTCCAAAAAAATAGTTGGCAGCACAACTGTTGCCAACATTGATAATTCTAATAATAAATCAGCATATTAGAATGATTTCGGAAGGATCATGTGACACTTTATACTGGAGTAATGGCTGATGGAAATTCAGCTTTGCTTCACAGAAATAAATTATATTTTATAGGATATTAAAATAGAAACCATTATTTTACATTGTAATAACATTTTGCAAGTTAAAATATATATCATGATTTAAAGGAGACATATTATGCTCCTTTTTACAATATGTAATATAAGTCTCTGGTGTCCTCAGAATGTGTCTGTGAAGTTTCAGCTCAAAATACTCAACAGATCATTTATAATATCATTTTGAAAATGCCTATTTTGAGTGGAAGCAGAAACACGCTGTTTTTCGGGCCTGTGTCTTTAAATGCAAATAAGCTGCTGCTCCCCGCCCCCTTTTCCAGAATAGAGTTGTGCCATACAGCTCGGACCTGCTAAAAACATCTGTTTTGGTTCTGATTATCATGTTTATCGCGCTGAAATCATGAGTTTTAAACCATATGAGTTTAAACTTCTGATACCGTGTTTTCTGAGTGCACACATCCGAAGCACACGGACAGAAAGCGACTGTCACAGCATGTGAGTACTAAACTAAGTTCTCATTCACACACAAGTTTACATTAAAAACGCACATGAGTTATAAAAAACAGTCAGTTATGTCTGTGAAGGTAAACATCTGGGAAATAAATTGCATGTTTATTTTAGATCTGTGTGGCAGCAGCAATATACAGTA